ACATCTTTTGGGGGCACACAAGTTAACCCATGACAACAACTGAGAGAATTTCAGTGAAAGACCCAGAGTCCTGGCTTCCCCAAGTCTACCTAATCCCTTGAATTTTGTGAGATAAATTTACTAATTGTTTAAGTTAGTTGGAGTCAATTTTCTGCTACTTGCAGCCAAAACATTCAGACAGAATTATGCAGACATTGCTGATGGGATGAGGGTAAGGGCAGTGATGGAGGCTGACAGGGGTCTCGGAGCTGTAGACAACAGCAGAAGAAGGCATCTGTCCTGTTGAGCCTGATACAGTGTGGAAGGATCGGAGAGGTCTGTTTTGGTCCAGGACTATTATTCATTCTTCATCCAAACACCTATTCACCAGCTACCCTGTGGCAAGGATTGTGCTAAACATGGAGGATTTAAATGAGCAAGACAGACGCCGTTAGGACTTCCCTGGTGGTCCAGTGGTTAAGACTCCGAGCTTCCACTGCAGGGGGTACAGATTCGATCCCTGGTCTGGGAACTAAGATCCCACATGCTGTGTGGCTAAAAAATTAAAAAAAAAAAAAAAAAAGGTAGACACCATCTCTGCCTTTGAAAGGTGTGTTGGGGGAAATCCTGAAATATGAGCCCAAAGAGGTAAATGGGGCCAGAGCGGAAAAGATACTGAAAACCCTATTAAAATGTTTGTTATCTTGAGGGAAAGGAGAATCTTGAAGCATTTTAAATAGGAGAGTGTCATGAGGCAATTTACATCGAAGAAGGATCAGTTTTACTGCAAATGGAGCACAGGCTGCAGTGTGGTCGAATGAGGCACGGAGACCCACTGGGGGACCGGTGGAATAATCCTAATCCCTTTAGTATCCTTTCACCTTTGAGTATCTCCAGAAGCACCTGGGGTCTTCCAGTGTAGGTGGAGCTGCATCAGAGGGTCAACGCACTGGGCGGTTACTTAGTGTGCCCGGGTTGCTGTTGTCTCCTATGTCCCTCTGCCCCTTCAGGGTTCTCTTCTTGGGATGTGGAAGGGAAACCAGCTTCCCAGGTCCATGTCAGCTCCTCTTAGAGGGGTCTCACAGCAGGTTGCTGGAGCCCAGGATACAATCAGGTCCAATCAAACCAGTGTTGGGTTTTACATCTAGTCCTATTTCCCTAGAGAGACTATACCCCCCCAGATGGCTGGGTCAAGGTCAGGTTCCAGAAACAGCCAGAGTAATGATCTCCCGGGCACAGATGCTGGGTCCCCTTCACCAAGAACGCTCCTCTCTTCATGACCGGTCCTCTCTTGAGCCTCTCACACCTTCCTGCAGTTGCTTCCTGCATCCCATGGTCCTGTGTGTGATGGGGGTTGCTAGCCTCCAAGACGGAGTGGATCCAAGTAAAGATAATACAAACAATTGCTGATTTTAAAAGTTCCGACTTTGCACTGGGATGGATCACGTGATTTTTCTTATAGAAAATCTGTTCTCCTAATGCGCTGTGCTTTGACTAATAATATAATTAACCAACCCACCTCAACACCCAGCCACTGAGTAATGAGGGAGATGTCCCATGAGGATGGAAGGGGACAAGGCCCGCAAAAATCTAGCATCGTCTGCCCTGTGTTTATAATCATCTTTCCTGATCATTTCGTATCAGGCAAGTGCCACCAACAGATGATGCTTTATTTGGCTGGGAATGATAATGATGGCTTTTTGTAATTGTAATATTTTTAACATTTCTTGCAAGATTTGATTATGTTTCAGGAATTTAACTCTTAATTGCGTTCATATGCAAGGAGAAATCTAGTCCCTTCCCGTGTCAACGCTGTCAGCTGCTGTATAACTGATTAGGGGCCCCATAGTTGCTGGCTGCTTTCATTAAGATGGTCACAGTAATCAGGAGGAAAAGCACAACTGAGTAATTGCAGATCTGAAAATACAATGCTACTTGATTACAATTATGGCTGGAAAAATTAGAGCAAATCCCAAGGGGCTAAGGCAGGACTGGATCTAAAGCAGCCTTGTCTTTAATACAGAGTAGCCTCTGTATTATGCCAATTTCAAATATATTATATGGGATATCACTTTTTTTTTCTTTTTTCTTTTTTTTTTTTTTGCGGTACGCGGGCCTCTCACTGCCGTGGCCTCTTCTGCGGAGCACAGGCTCCGGACGCGCAGGCTCAGTGGCCATGGCTCACGGGCCCAGCCACTCCGCGGCATGTGGGATCCTCCCGGACCGGGACATGAACCCGTGTCCCCTGCATCGGCAGGCAGACCCCTAACCACTGCGCCACCAGGGAAGCCGGGATATCACTTTTTTAATGCTTTCTAAACCCAGAGTTGGGTTGTTTCTGTATATCATTCAACACACACAATGCTATGAGGAAAATACCATTTTTGCCTGTATTTTAGATGTGAAAAAATAAAAGCTTAAAGAATAACTCATTTGGTGTCACATAACTAAAAAGTGATGGAGCAGTAAGTATAGACTCTTATCCACGATGCTTTCATATGCAAGCCCACAGCCCTTATTCACAACTTCAATATTCAGAACATTTTGAAAATACCCAAAGGTGTTTTGTTTGGTTTTGTTGGTAGCTCATTTAGTGGCAAAAGTCTGATCTGACTGAGGTCTTATTTATTGTCTTTATTTACCCTTCTTTTTCTGAAGGTTGATGTTTCGCTAGAGAAATATTAATGTATTTGTTACAGGGTGCTGATTCAGACAGCTGTGGAGGGTGATATCACCCTTACAATATCTAGAATATTCTGCACTCCAAAAATCATCTGGTTCAAAGAGGTTTTGGGTAAAGGATATAAAGTTGGTGGGGTGAAATGAGAGGAAAGGGCAAAAATTGAAGATAAGGTATGAAATTAAGATAGGTCTGTGTAATAAATAAAGGCTTGTTACCGTTTAGTACCCATTGCCCACCCCGGGAGCTGAATTAAACTGGCCTGAGGGGCGGACGGTGATCAGGATGCGGATGGCAGTCTGCTCTTTGTATTTACCCAGCGAAGGGGCAGTGAAGGGGCAGCCTAAGAGAAGGTGGCCTTGACAACAACACTGTCATCTTTGCTTACATCTCTCTATCCCTGGAGGAAGAGCTGGTCCCACTGTAGAGGAGTCTGGCTCCAGGCCAATCCTAAGTGACCCGACCACGGCCAGGGACCAGGCTTTGCCCGGCAGGCTCATGGGGAGGGGAGGGAAGCTGCCCTCCCCACATGGTCTTGGGGCACAGCTGTGCACTGCAGTGTCTGCAGGGAGTTTCAGGCAAGGACTCGGCCCCCAGCCTGCCCCGCTCATGTGCACAGCAGCATTCCCGGCCTGCGTGCCTCTGCTCGGAGGTCTCCCCCACGCGGGGGCCTCAGCTGAGGCACTTTTCTCCATCCTGACTCAGTACATTTTCACTTCTAGCCCTTCCTCTAGTCATACCCCTAGGCCCTCCCCGGTTCGGCTCCTGGGCAAAGATCCCTCCCTCGTCACCGTGCCAGGGCTGGCGCACCTGCCCCTCACCCAGTGCTGTCCAGTGGGCAGAACGGGGCCTGGGCAGCGGTGCCGGTTCTTGCCTGCTGCCTGCACTGCGGCTGAAAGTGAACCAAGGTTCGCTGTGACATTCGGCTCGGCTTGCTGTCCTACGAGACCACCTCGACACCTGCCCTGCGCCAGTGCCCTGCAGGCTGCCTTCAGAAACCTTCTGCCAGCGTCCTCTTTAGCTCACACATCTTTATTGCCCTCTCCTTGCACTCTCTCACTGGCATTTAATCGTGATCACGCTTTCACCAACTTAAAAGTTCCTTGGCTTTTATGTCCTCCTCCTGTCAGTGACTGTCCTTTCTCATTTAAGTTCTGGAACAAGACACAGCTCAATTCAACCTTCAGCACATGCTATCCCCATGACCCAGAACACTGTTCTCTGTGCACCTCCTCTGGCTCCATCCAGCTGTTCCTCACTAACTTCCTGTTCCAGGGAGTCTTCCTGGATTCTTCCATTCCTGGTTATGGACCTCACCTCGGGGTTCCCAGAGCACCTTGTGTTTGTCTTTACCAAAGCCTGTCATGTTTTATGTCTACTTACTGGTTACCCACCCTCAACTGAGAATACTTGAAGACTAGGAACTTAATTGTTTATGTCTCAGGATGGCCAACACGGCCTGGCTCTTGATAGGCACTCAACAAATGCTTGGCAATGAGTAACACATTTAGTACAAGATTAAAACAAGTAATAACCCAGAGTATTTTAGTCTATCTGTTAAAATTTAAAAAAATAACCCAGGCTATATTAGTCTATCTGTTATGTTACAGACACGTTTGCCCTCAAAGCTTATTTTTTAAAAAAATATACATTGTTCTTACCCCAAGGCTATAAAAATATCTATATATATTCTTTGCCTTGGTCATTATATTTTTTCATATTTCTAAATCCACATGGAGTTAAATTTCAGGATCCTTCTGATTAGATGCTGTATCTTCTACACAAGTTCTTTATGGGTTGACTGGTTTTTAACTTTCTTTTTAGCCTAAGTGAATTCTAACAAGAATACAGAGTTATGAACTAGATGATCTTTTAAAGACACTTCAAATCTGAAGAGTTTATGAAATTTATATATTGAAAATCAAAATTTCCTTCTAGATCATGCCTGACATAAAAATATATATGAACTGTAAAACAGATTTAAAATGTTAACTCTCACAAACACATAAAAGCAAACTTTAAACATTTTTAAATTAATAATTTTAAAGTTCTGCTATATTTTCATTTATAGGTACTAAGAACCCTATCTTCCATCTTTACTGGTTTCTGCATCTCATTCTATTAAGACTATTTCCAGAATTTTAGAATTGACACATAATCTGACAATGCTGAAAATGTTCTCAAACACCTGTATTCTGCAGAAAACACCACTGTGAATATTAAAACGGAACTACTCCAAGTTACAGAAAAAGACAATATTTTAAAACCACTGTTAAAGTGAAATTACTTTGATATTAATTCAGAATAACTGAATTAAACTGACTGCATTTGTTGTTCTTACCCTTGGAAACGTTGTAAATCTATCCAGCTCTTCGACAAAGCAGAACATCTGCAAACTAATTGCTGACATAACAATCAAGAGGCTGGCAGTAAATACAACCAAACTTCCGAGCTTTTTTCCAGGACCAAATATCTTGTACACGAAGTCTTCTAATGCAGGTGAAATTTTAATAAGCCGAACTACCCGAAGAACCTATTGTGGGAGAGAAAAACACACACACTTGATCGTTTATTTATACTGAATCTTAAATAAGTTCATACTAAAATCTCATTTTTCATAGCACTCTATAAAATCGCATTTAGCAATTAAATTAAACAATTTAATAACTAAGATATCAGTAGCTCAGTGACTGCCATATAGCAAGAACTCAATAAATCCCAAAGGAATGAAGGAAGGAAAATGGTGACAACTCTATTTTAATATATGATGTGATAATTCAAAGTGGCATTAATTAACACATATTGTTGAAATAGACATTTGTTCTAATGTTCAAATATCAAAGAAAACATTAGTTCAATATTAGGCATATTCATTGTCTCATAAAACAAACTTTCCTAGGGATTACTGTACATTCAAAAGGAAATTTTAAAAATCCATCTATCAAGGTGTCTTTACTCATGGCTGAGACTGCTACTCTAAGATCTATTCTATCCTTCCTTTAATTAATAGAACTTGCTGAATTTTAGCCTAGCAAGGGTACAGGCTGCATTTTCCAGCCCCACTTGTATCTAGTTGTGGCCGGTGGAGTAGGTTCAGACCTATGGAATGTGAAAAGAAGTGATCTTTGCACATTAAGTTAAATAATTTGCCCTGGACACTCTTTTTATACCTTCCTCTGGCTGGGAAATTAAAACAACTGTAATTGTCCCTTTGGAACAAAAATAGAAGCCTCGTATAGAAGATGATACATTCAGTCTAACCCAACAGGCCTGCTTTCTGGATGGCCCTGGGGAGCAGAGCCAACTACTTGCCCTGGACTCCCACCAACTGGAGAGAAACACACTTCTATCTTACGCAAGCCCTGTATTTTTTAGAACTTTGTTATACGTGCTCAGCTGGTTATCTAAACACACACACGTTTAAATGTTTTGCATATATATATATACATGCAAAAACTACCACCCATAACTAATTAATTTTCTCATTCACTTAACAAATATTATTATGTGCCAAACACTGTGTTGGACAAATAAGATTCAATGGCTATTACTGTTTCAAAGGGAGTATAATACAAAGGCACAGCTCTTAAAGGCATATCTATAAGATTAAAAATATAAAGTAGAATATAATTAAAAGTTGAAGTATAAAATATGGAAAAATAGCATTTTTCAACATGTCTAAGATGCCATCAATTTTTTTATGTACCACTGAGAAAGTGAAAAATGCCGCCAATTAAAGTATAACACACCACTGATTATAAGACAGGTCCCAGTTTAGAGATATTAAAATAGGAAAATTGTGGTCTTGGTATAAATGAAAGATGGTAAGTAGAATGGCAGTCCAAGATGGTTCGATATCAATAAGAGCTTAAGGTGTCTGTAAAGCCTTCTCAGGAGAAGAAAGAATACAGTAAAGAAAAGGAAATGCTTTAAAAACCTAGATTTAGGGCTTCCCTGGTGGCGTAGTGGTTGAGAGTCCGCCTGCCGACGCAGGAGACACGGG